CGCCGCCGGCTCGATCGTCCTCGACCGGTACCGGCTCGGCCCCATCCTCGGACGCGGCAGCTTCGCCAAGGTCTACCTCGGCCGCCCCCTCGACGGCGGCGCCGACGTCGCCGTCAAGGTCATTGACAAGAGATCTGCCTCCGCCGCCGCCATGGAGCCCCACATCCTCCGCGAGGTCTCCGCCATGCGCCGCCTCCGCAGCCACCCACACATCCTCGAGCTCTACGAGGTCCTCGCTACCAGATCCCGGATCTACCTCGTCATGGAGCTTGCCCCTGGCGGCGAGCTCCTCTCCCGGCTCCGCCGGCACCGCCGCCTCCCGGAGCCCGCCGCCCGCCGGTACTTCCATCAGGTCGTCTCCGCCCTCCGCTTCTGCCACAGGAACGGAGTCTTCCACCGGGACATCAAGCCCCAGAATCTCCTACTTGACCGGAACGGGCTCCTCAAGGTCACCGATTTCGGGCTCTCTGCACTCTTTGACCAGAAGCGGGCCGGCGGCGACCTGATCCACACTGCCTGCGGCACGCCGGCGTACACCGCGCCGGAAGTCGTCCGCCGGAGCGGTTACGACGGCGGGAAGGCCGATGCCTGGTCGTGTGGGGTCCTCCTCTACCTTTTCCTTGTTGGGAGCCTCCCCTTTGACGATGGCAATTTATCAAACATGTATCGGGCCATGAATCAACGGGCCTTTGATTTGCCAGATTGGCTATCGAGGCCCGCGAAGATGGTGATATACAAGCTCTTGGACCCGAACCCAAACACAAGAATGGGCCTAGACGAGTTAATCGGGCTCTCCTGGTTCAAGAAATCGTACTCGGAGAATAATCTGGCGGCCCGGGACATCGGGCCGGGCTTTTTGGATGAGAGTGAGTTGAAGCATTCCCCTAAGGTAAATGCCTTTGACATAATATCCATGTCTTCTGGTTTAAATTTGTCCGGGCTTTTCGAGAAGGAGACTGTTTGTACGGAGATGAGGTTTTTCGCCATTGGTGTGGATGTGGCTGAGATTGAGAAGAAGGTTGCTGGGGCTGGGGTTGGATTGGGGTACAAAATCGAATTAGGTAAAGTTGGGGGGTTGATAAGAATGGTAAAGGGAGGGGTAGTTTTGGTAATTCAGGTTCGTGATGTGGGGTCAGTCGGGTTGTGGTTACTGGAGCTGAATCTTGTTGATGGTACTGTGGCCGATTTGGAGGATTTACAGTGGGAGGAGTTGAAATCAGGGCTTAAGAAAGAGGTTTAATGATTTTATTTGGAAAATTAGAAAGAAAAATGTGAAAAAAGGGAAGAATTTTGATATGATGGGAATTTTATCATGATCTTGAGGCTGATCCTTGATTGGATGGCATTCTTGATGTCTATCGGGATCGCAATGCAATGGATTTAATGATGTTTGGTACACAAGTTTGGATTGTATTGTCTGTAGGATTTCTAAGGGGGTGAAATTAGTCTTTTACTTCTGGTAAGTGCACCACTTGTGGCTTGTGTAAAAATGGATTGTGCCTTTAATTGACCGATTTTGGTTTCATGTAAAATGCATATCTTGCTTTGATATTCTTTAAGAGCTGTAAAGGGAGCATATAATTAAATTTTGGTATGGAGTAGTTGGTGAGTTTCAAAAGCATTGTAAAAAGTGGATTGTGCCTTCAATTGACTGATTTTGGTTTCATGTAAAATACATATCTTGCTTTGATATTCTTTAAGAGCTGTAAAGGGAGCATATAATTAAATTTTGGTTTGGTATGGAGTAGTTGGTGAGTTTCAAAACCATTACAAAAGTGGGTAGAAACAAGAAAAACTGAACTTGTAAGATCTTAATTAAGCATTTTGATAGCAGGAATGTTATGGAGCCATCGGATGGTTCCCTTATGGAGTCATCCATAACGTTAGACATTGACACGTGTCCAATGTGCATTTATTACAAGACACGTGTCAATACACCATTTGTGGATAACTATGGATGGCTCCATAAGTCGAGCCATTCGATGGCTCCATAGCAAAACCGGATAGCAAGAATGTTATGGAGCCATCGGATGGTTCCCTTATGGAGTCATCCATAACGTTAGATATTGACACGTGTCCAATGTGCATTTATTACAGGACACGTGTCAATAACCATTTGTGGATAACTATGGATGGCTCCATAAGTCGAGCCATTCGATGGCTCCATAGCAAAACCGGATAGACAATACGTTTGAAGAGATTATAAATGTAGCTAAACCACCATGGAATAGTTAGATTAGAGTTTCACTTCTGGACTTGGTATTCGTGAAAAGGCAAGAATACATAGTTAATTAACACTAATTATAACTTGCGGAAAGGCAAGAATACGTAGTTAATGAACACTAATTATAACTTGCATACATCTACTTGGATGATTAAGCATTGTACAGACAATACTCCCATATAGTACATAGATACGCAAAACTCTGCCTCGATTTATTTCTCTCAGTATTTCTGGTTCATTCCTATACGTGATTTTGGGTCCAANATACAAGAGAATAATGTAGTACAAAATCATAAAAGAATCATACCTCCTATTTCAATAAATAAAAAAAAAACCTAATATTCCTAGTACAAATTGCGCCCGCCATTAGCCAATATATATCCTGATGGATGCTCGGTTATTGGTGCCGAACTTTGAGTTTTGTTTCAGGGTTTGACGCTTGCCTGGGAGATTGGGGCGCGCAAGGTGGTAGTAGAGGTAGATAACCAGAGTATTATTGCGATGGTCCGTGGGGACGATGGATGCGGTATCCACAAGGGGATTCTACGAAGGATACGGGAGCTGTTATGTCGGCCATGGCATGTGGTTTTGCAGCATGGTTATCGGGAAGCGAATTTTGTGGCCGATTTTTTGGCCTCCCTTGCGGTGCAGGGGCCTGGCAGAGTTCAACGTTTGGATGTTCCTCCCTCAGGTGCGAGGACTTGGCTTGCTCATGATGTGGTAGGGGCGTCGTACCCCAGAAACGTGTTGGTATCGCCGTAATTAGGCTTGGCCTCCTTTTCTTGTACAAAGATATATATATATATATATATATATATATATATATATATCCTGACCAAACAAGTTTGACCCAATATATATATCCTGACCAAATAAGTTTTGATGGCATCCTCCTGCATCGTGAAAGTTATACATATATTAATATCAAATTTAAATCATTCATTACATCTCATAAACAAGATATAAAAGAAAATGTAATAGGAGTATAACAAAATGCATACATGTTAAGTACGAAAATAATGAGCATGTATCTATCTGCCAGATTACAAATTGAAAGAAACGTCACAATCGTTATCTATTAATTCTATTTCGAAATAGATTTGAAATTTAACACAACAATAACAACAAATGAATCGGCACTAGTGGAGTTTTTATCTTACACAAACTTTATTTACTTACTCCTCAGATAATTGAACGCACTTGTAACTAAGAAAATACTACAACATATAACATTACTAATTACAGTTTAATCAAAATACCAAAAAATGAGCTGATAATGGAATGACAAAAAAATGAGCTTAAATTCATTACCTCATCTTGGATTATCATTTCATCACAAATAATTATGTCTTTAATAAATTTCAAAACGTAATACCCACAATCCACACCGTTAGCTTGTTGGCAACACTAAAAGAAGCAAATATTCGTTAATATGTACATATATAGATCAGCATTTATCACAAATAACATCATGAAGTACTTTAACTTTTTTCCATCATAAGTTCTTTGATTTATTTTTTGAGACAATCATCCTGACTTGAGCCCGAAATGCGCTAGTAAAAACAAAAAGATAATGGAGTTACTGGAAACAACAACAAAAAACAAATACACCATAACAACCACATATACTTACGTGTTAAACACATCTATCATATGTTGATGAGGATTCTTGCGAATAAGATCTAAGTAGTATATTGTCTCTGCCTTCAAATTAATAGCCAACAACATCCAATGATCCTATAAAAAAATGCTAACATTTGATACTACATTTAGTATTTACTTTTACGTATTATTAACAATATATATATATATATATATATACAGATGAAAAGTCTTACAATGTCTTTCTTTAGGTAGAAAGCTTGTTTCATGGGGATAAGAAGAAAAACCTTTTTGATAATTGCTTATGGAACATGAATTTTTCGTACAAATATCTTAGATAAACATACAAAATATGATTACTTACCAAAAGAATATATCAAATCCACGTACAAAATTAACCAGTAAAAGTTGGAATGGTACCTGATATATGTACAGACAGCAGAGACGTCAATCCACGGATGCGTAAGAACATGATTTATTTCATCCACACCAAGATATACCAAATATATCTTTAGCCATTACTATGCTTGGTAATGTATCACCAGGTCTCTTAAGCAATTGGACATGCATGGTAAGATGGCTACAGTATGACCCGTTCCTCGTAGTACCATGCTTTTGGACGTTGATAGGGCGAAAAATGTGCGCGTTTTATATGTTTAGTAGTGTATTTTTATATGCTTAATTTAATCGCACGTTTGTATTTTTCGACCTATTTATTATTTGGATGGATTTATTTGCTATGATGTTTTATGTGTTATTTTCAGTATTTTGGAGCAATTTGTGTACGCGAAGCATTAGACGGAATTTCACGCGATTAATTATCGGAGGCACAAGACTCATTGGCTTGGAGTAGGACTCATTTTGGAAGCAGCAACACTCACGCAATTTTGGATTGAAGGACATTAGTTGTCAAGGGAATTATTTAATAGGAAAGAAGGATTATTATTTCTTCTGTACAGGGAGCCGCGAGGAATTATTTACCGTGAGCACATAAAGGAATTATTTTGAGAGACAGAAAAGAAAAAGGCCGAGACATGCACAGTTCACGCACGGACTGAAGGAGAGAAATAACACGCGGAGGGAAGCCGCACTCGCACACAAGAGGGAGATATTTTTATCTTCTCTCTTTTATCATTTATTTATTTTTATTAGTATGTTAGGCTAGACTTTTTATCCAGTTTGAGGAGATGTTTGAACCCTAACTTTGATTTGTCTATGGATTGAAGGATTTTTATTTATCGTTAGTTAATCGAGACGCCGTATTTATTTTGTTGATGAGTTGATTTATGTTATCTGTGTATCGTGTTTATTAATTATGGTGTTTGATTTGGTTTGGCCAGCTAGGTTGAATATCCATAGTTTAATTGCTAGATTCGAGGCTTTAATCCGTAACTGTTATTGTCTTGTTTCGTTAGTAGTAAACTAGGGGTCGTGCATCTCTAGGGTAGCATGAGCATAAGTTAAATAGTCCGAGCTTTTGTGTCCATTGCTTAGACTGATCTATTTTCCTAGGAATTAATGCTGCTAGTGTATTTTATCTAGAGAGCTTATTCTAGGTTGTCCGCTAGTTAGGTTTAGTCGAAGAGCTTATTTCGATTAAATATTCGGTAAGGGAAAATTCGATTAACAGAGCTTGTTGTTAGTTAGGGTTGGTAATTCATTAGCAATCTAGAGATAACGTCGAAATTAATTAACGGTAGATTGAGATTAGGTGATAACTGAACCGAAAACTAGACTTCTCTCAATTTATTTGATTTATATTTCCTTTTGTTATTTTTATTTTTATTTTTATTTTTATAAAACCAATCTCCCCACCTTTTTATTGCTTTCGTAGTTTAATTCAATTAATACGAGATTGTCACAATTAAATTCCTACTCCTCGTGGGATCGACCCTTACTCGCCACTACTACTAGTTAGTAGAGGTTAGTTGAGGAAAAATATATAAATTTAAATTTGCCGCGTTGCGACGAGCGGTCAAATTTTGGCGCCGTTGCCGGGGAGTGGCGCAATTGAGTTGTGATTTTTTTAGTATTAATTGAATTAGGTAATTAGATTAGTTTTCATTTTATCTTATTTTTCTTTGACTCTTTTTATGCCCCTATTTTTCTTTTTTCTTTTGGTTTCTTTTGCAGGTAGTACTCGTTATAAATGGATGCGTATTGGAGCCCGGAATGTGCTTACGCTTACGATTCATATTATGAAATGAAAAGGGGAGAAATAAGAGACCAACATCGTGAGGTTAGGATGTCTGCTATGATCCAAGGAGCCATTGAGAGTGTTCGTCAAGCTTTAAGGAAACCATGTCGTCTATGTCATACCACACGTCACGTCACCGATGATTGTCCACTTTTGATCGAGAGGTATGGTGCACGCAGAGCTACCGAGAGAGATTGGTATCGACGAGACGAATGGG